CAAATACTTATATTTAGTGGTTTAAGTAAAATCACTAATCGCTACTCTAAAATCGTTATACCAAATGACCCTTAATTAGAAAAAAGGCCAAGTCATCGCCACCCACTTTCCTAATTTCCTTAAATTCTTCCCGGCATATGCCAACCTACTTCTGTTTTTATAGATCACAGCATCAAATAAAGAGATTTCAAATCATTTAAGCTGGAGTTTGTTTTGTTTATTATACAAGGCTTATAATTTGAAGGAAAACATTATGAAACGTTTAAAAGTGGGAAAGGGCTATGATCGAAAATAATCAAAGCATTCGTTTTTATGTTTTATATTTTTTCGTGGGCACCTAACTTACCACTTTTTGTTAATTAAGTTTTTTTTTTTTTTAAATTATCGACTAAAGTGAATCTGTTTGTTTATGTTGATTAATTATTGAATTACCTCATAATTAAAGTATATGCTAACTGTAAAAGTAGGAAAGCTATAAGATGCCTAATACTTTCTCCATTGATCCTCTAATTCTAGTTAAATTTTTATACCATACTGGTGATTTATTCAACTCATTGGATAAATTGCACTCTATAAGAAGTCTAACACCTAAACAAAGTGGAGAAAGACAGGGCTAATTGTTTAAGGCTTCCAGAATATAACGTGTTGTTTATGAACCCCAATGAATAATAATGTAAAACAGTGTCATTAAAGAAAATATTAGCCAAGCATTAGCAAAACAGAAAAATGTAAGTGAAAGGAATTTGCAACAGCCCCCCCAAAAAAAAAAGGAAAAAGTAAACAGTTTCATATTTCATTCCAATTATAGATGGAAATTACGAGTACATTTTGAACCTACCTTATGCATTTCGTAAGTCTCAAATGGCTAAAAATATGTGCGCAAGTCCAATAATATTTTCCCACTTAAGAATAGTGTGCTGGGTGTGCATGTGAGTGGTGGTTGCGGCACTGGAAGCTGATGAGAATAATGGGAACATATATAAGGAAAAGTGTTTTTGTAGGTTTATTTTAATTAATTATTTTTATTTAATAAAAATAAAAATATTTTGCGGCACTGGGGCTCAGCATAACTGAAATTTCGGATATAATATTTTGAACTCAAACTGATTTTTAATTCTATTACAAACTCAGTTATCTGAATTATTTTAAATAATTAGGTTAAATAACTAAAATTACCAAAATTTGAAGAATTTGTTCTTTACTTCTTTGATTATTAAAAACTTATTTTTTTATTTTAATTAATTATTTTTATTTAATAAAAAACAATTCAAATTTTAAATCAACATATAGCTCTTTTTAGTAATTTCATACATGAGTTGATAATCATATCTGAACCTGAATTTATTTTTGGTTCATTTTAGTGTAGTCTCATCCAAATTATCCAAATCGAAATCGAAAAATTAAAGTTGAAAATTCGGATATTTCAGTAATATTTAAAATATATACCCCCAAAATGCACCCTGCACTTTTCAAAATTGGTTTAGTAATTTCCCAAAATTTCCCTCTATTTTTGACATTTTAACCGCCATGCGCCCATCCCGACTGCCGGAAGTTTGTAAAGTTCGAAGTTGAATGGAACGATGTTGTGACACAGAGAAGGAGCCAACGCCACCTAATCTCAAATGAACCCTACGCAACGCAGACTATTAACAACCACAATGATCGGAAACGGTAGCGCTGGATTCAGATTGAGATGGATATGGACCCAAGGGCCGCGCTCCCAACGGCGTTGCCTCAGAATTCCGGCCAGATGTTCCACTGACGTTACCGCTCAATACGCCATGCTCTGTCTCACTCCGCTTGCTTCCAAATCTGATGTTAAACGAGCGTCTCGCATTGAAGGTCTCTCCCGCTTTTCCTTTTATGTATCGGTTTCTTAAATATTAAAAAAACGATTTTTAGCAATTTTTTTTTTATTTTTTTTATTTTGGGATTTGCAGTATCATCCAGATGGGTTCAAAGGGGACGTTTTTCTGAAAAGGATAAAGCTTTTAGGGAGATTAAATCTGCAGATGAGGTAAATTTGATTGCATTTTGGGGATGAATGTGCATATGCTCATTCACTTGGTCACGTTGAGAACCTTAAAATCCCCAAAGATGATTATAGTTTTTCTTCGAGTTTGGTTAGTAACTTCTAGATTTCTTTGGGTTTCCTCAGAGACAATGATGTATTGGGTGTTGGTTACACTGCTTGAGTTATGTGGGGGAGGTTGTTTAAGTATGTGAATGGAGAAAGAGAACAAATTTTAATGAATTTCAAGAGAAAAGATATATTTGGAACCATTAATAGAATAAAATTGCGTTTTGGAAGAAGGGCTACTTTGCTTTCATTAACTTCCTTCTACGCTGTCATATGTGTGGAAATTTTAAAGATTTTTAGATGACTCAAGCTTGTTAAGTCTGGTATGATATAGGGTCATTAAAAAGGGAAAAGGTAGAGAGATATTTATTGTCCACTAAGGAAGCTATCTCTAAAGGTAAAGGCTAGCATCCAAATTCTAACCTTTGGTGTTCTTGTGATAATTGGTGGTCTGTAGTCCATTTGAAGGAAATGAGTCTGAGGCTCCAAACTTTTTAACCCTTATTTCTTAATCTTAGCTCAATGGTACCTCCTTATTATAGGGCTAGCCTGCAAAGAATGAAATGTCAGTTTGCAATATCTCAACGCCCACTACTTTAGCTTTTGTATTGTAGCAAGAACACTACAAGAATTTTAACTTTTATCCCCACTTTCTTTCAAGCGCTTAACTAGTTGTGTTGGTAAATTCTTACATGCACATAGGTAAAGGAGGGCGCTTTCAATTACGTGTCTGATATGTTTTGTATTTGTAAGCGCTTATTACTCGAGAGCCTAAAAATAGGAAAAAAAAAATGAATAACAGCACGAGGGGGTTTTGGGTGCTTGGGGATTGGGCGCCAAAGGTCACCCATACTCCCGCCAAAAAGATTTTCCTCCCTGCCTTCATTTTGTAACCTAGAAGGTCCAAAACTTAAATTTCATTAATTTCTTCTTCATTTTGGGTTTCCCTAATTCCCTCGAAGGGAATCCCTCCTCATTCGTTTACTAAGTTCCCTCCGCCATAATTCTCACCTCACTACTCTAGATTTAGTGATTGGAGGTAATCTGGGGAGGATCAACGATAAAATTTAGGTTAGTTTCTCCTTTGAGCTCTGAGTCTCCTTTTGATTAAAGTACATTTTGCCATTTTTCTCTTATTTTGATTTCATTGGAATGACTTTCAAACCTTAACACATATCCTTCTCATGTTTTGATTCTGCGTTCTACGGTGAATCTGGGGAGCATTGACAATGAACTTCAGGTTTGTTCCTTTTTCTTAGATTTTCTTAGGTATTTGTTATGGAATTCTCAGTTATTAGTCCATGATTTCTAGTGTGTTGATTAGGAATTTGGTTCAATGACTTTTAATTTAGCAGATTTGTTTCATTTGCTGATGAATTCTGATGTGATAACTTGATTCTTATAAATTCTGGTGTCATAACCCAATTTTAATTGGGGCTAAGTGAGAAAAGTAAAAGTTTGTGGACCGTTTCACAAAAGGTGTAAAGCTTGAAGGGCTGAGATGAAGAACTAGCAAAACAACGTCGTTTTGCCTGTAAGTTGAAATAAAGCCCAGGGTTCTGTCGAACCCTAGCTTCCCAAAATCTCATTTCTTCCTTTTGCCGCCGACCATCTCTAAGATTTCACAAAATTCTTCTTATCCATTCAAAGTTTGGATAGCCCACAACAACACAAGAAGAGATTTTCGGATTTGAAGTTCTTATCAAGAGTCGCAGAGGATTTTCGAAGTCGATTCAAATTGGGAATCCTAATATTTTAAAGGTATGAATCTAGCCTTAAAAAAGGGAAGATGTGTAAAGGCTAGGGTAATTTTAGGATTCCAATTTCAAATAGGATTAGATTATTATCTGTAATTTTGGGGATTGGGATTAGAATTGAGAGTTAGAAAAAGGGTTGGAGTCCTCTCTATTTCTGTATAAATAGGGGGGCACCTTCGGCTTGAAAAAAAAAAAAAAAGATTGGGGGAAGGAAGAGAGATCCGAGAGTTGAGAGGGAGAAAGGGAGCGAATCGAAAAAAAAGAAAAAGGAGAAGAAGCCGAGAGAAAGCAAAGAAGAAAAGTAGAACAGAGGTGAAGTAGCTGCAGGGGTTAGCGAAGAGGAAGCTTGTATTTAGGATTTCACAAAACAATAAAGCATTAAATTTTGCAGCTCCTTACAGGTGTGAAATTTATTTTATTTTACTACTTTTTTTCCCCTTTTACATATTCTGCAGCATGGGTAATCTTGTGTGATTCAAGTATCTCTTCTATTATTCGTTCTGGAAATCGGATGTGGTGAAATTTTTGTTGCAATGAATCTTTTATTTGATGTATTATTCTTTTGTGGAATTAACTTGTATGAATTAATTAGGTGTTTGAGGGATAAGACAAAGATTTAGGATGAAATTTGTTTTTATGATTACATGTTGGAAACCTCAAATGATGTGCAAAATTGGGGAAAAGAAATTTATTTTAGGGAATAGGAAAGGGGGGGATTTAGGCATTAGAAAAAGGAATAGAAACGAATAAAAAAAAAGGAAGCAGAAGCAAAAAAAAGAAAGCAAGCAGAAACGGTAAAAAAAGCAAAAACGAAAATAAAGAAAAGAAAAGAAATGGAGAATAAAAAATGATTGAGGATTTTTTTGTTTTTTTTTTTTGAAGTGATTTTTTCTTTTTGATTTATTTGGTAATTATTATTATTTGATAAAAATTGAAAATTCCCCAAAATTAAAGTATGTGGTAACCATATTTATATGGAAGTTTGTGGGGTGCCTAACACCTTCCCCACACTTAACTGACCCTCCGAATCTAGTCAATTTCTATGTAGACCTTGGTGATCTATCCCACCTCATTTGGATAGATGGCGACTCCATCCATTTTGGCACGTCAACAGTTTGGCGACTCCACTGGGACCTTGAGGGGTCAAGCCATTTATACTTTAATTTTGGGGGTTTTTCAATTACTAACTTTTGTTTTGTAGGTGGCATGGAATATTTTGTAAGTTTTTTTTTACTTTGTTTTTTTATTTTTATTTTTATTTATTTTATATTTTGTTATTTTCATATGTTAACTTTGGCTATACTCCCTCACACACTTCACTTGCATATCATTTTTGTCCTTGACGAGGTAAACCCAACCTCTAGATAGATGGATAACTCATGGAGTGATGAAAAGCGCAATGCTTTCTTTGTGAAGTGAGATTTATCCCTTTTAGGTTCATTTTGTGGGTTAATACGGCTTGACAGTTATAATGCTGCTGCTGTATTAGGTCATGAAATGCCTCTTGTTAACTCTATAGAAGTTGGCAATTGTTGACTTTATGAAAGTCAATAATTGTTGACTTATGGAAGTTAGCAGTTGAAAAGCCTAATCGTATAGGATCCACTAGGAAACCGCATGTAATGGACTTAGACAAAACTTAACCCTAGGACGACCAGCCTAGTGAATCACCGTCAAAGTCTAAGAACCTTATACATAGGACACATTGGGAGTATTTTATTTTTATGATCTTGTGTTTTTAGGTGAGGAATTCGACCAAGAGGTATGACGTTCATTAACTCTTCTTTTTCTTTTTTAATAGGTAATTAATTATTCTACACATGGATTCTTTGGAGAAAAAGAACAGTAAGGGAAAAAGGGTGAATTTAGAGTTAGAATGTCCGCCATTATCCAAGAAGAACAAGTCACACAAGGATGGATTCTCTGTACAGACCAAAAGACCTTGTGTAAAAGACTTGGTTGCTGCTTGGAATAGTCTGAGTAATCTTGACAAAGTGAGGTTTGACAAGAAATTTGG